GAATGGTTTGAACAGGCATTACAATGTGCAAAAGAGGAAAGCAAAAGAGCCAATATAAGTTGTTGCTTACCCTTTCATCCGGATTTCCAAGGAACTTAACAGCACGTAAAACAGGGCAGAAACGTTTGATTTCATTCATCCAATTGCCAAGCGTGGATTTTGGAGCAACAACCATGTGAGGACCAGTTATTCCTCTAAATTCATGTAGGTAGCCCATCAAGGAGATGGTTTGCAACGTCTTACCAAGACCCTATGCAATAATAAGAGGATTAAATGACGATGCTTCCACTTAAAAGTTATAATTGCAAAATGTAGGGAGAAGGGAGCATCTCAATACAGTTGCATATGACCATACTAACCATTTCATCAGCAAGTATTCCATTTATTCCATTCTCATACAGTCGAATCAGCCAGTTTAAACCAGCAAGTTGATAATCCCTCATCTTCCCTTGAATACCTGACAAAGTATTTATGATGTGATATTCAGGTGCTTAAAGAAGAATGAAATATGAAGGGAGTAGCAGAGAAAATTTGTCTCACATAGAAGCCTGTATCCCAAACTTCAACTGTTCAATATGACGTTATTTTCCGAAATACGCTTAAATTCAAAGCTTTGAGCAGGGCTACCATGCTTCATATAAAAGAAGTACAGGAGAATTCAACAAGTGAAACCTCACTAACTTGGTTTTCTTTAAATTCACAGTTTCCAATAATGATGCTCATTTAGAGGTATTGACAAATCTCCACCCCTGTAAAACTCGCTTATTTCTTTAGCCACCTTATATAAATAAAATGATAACAAAAATAACCTGATTCTGTGCAGCCATCAATCACTTGCTCACATGTTTAACTAACACTATCACTTGTAACAACAACTTGACTAAAAAACCTTGCACAGAGCTACTCAAACTACACACCTCACAGGATTATTGCATAAGTAACTTCTTTTTAAGTAGGATCTACGCTTGGGTATCTGATCTCAGCCTTTTCAGGATGGACCTACCAGTTTAGTAACAACTTCATGATACACGGTTCAGTAACATCATATTAACAAATACACTTGCATCAAAATATATCTTACAGGATGGTTGTGCCACAAGTCGTGTATTCCCAGAAAGTTCATCTTCATCTTTGAGATACTCTTCATCTTCTTCCTCTTCAGTTACCTTTGATGCATGACGACCCCTAAAGAAAGAAAAGGTCATCAAATGGCCCATAACGAATCCACATACAGAAGTACCTCCGGTGAGTGGAAAAAATTTCTCCTTTATATGAACAACATAAAGCATACTGGGTGAAGCACGTCCACCCAAATAATCATCTGAAATAACATGGTGCCATCCAACTCTAAAACCAAGTTGTATATGACTGTTACTTCAGGGTTTCAGTATATAACTTTATCTTATTATGATTAAGGAGAGCTTTTTATTCGATATTCACACTACAACGCCAGGAACTGCAGAACATGTAGAAAAAAGGAACCATGCCTCTCTTTTTAGATGACTTGTCAATGAAGCCCGTCAATATCTCAATTCTCAGCATCACTTATATCAAGAAAAGGAAGCAACTTAAGAAACAAGCAAACAATATGGAAGTCCTTGCCAAGTTATATAAATAGCAATGTGTATGTATGTTGTGTTGATTTTACATTGCGAACACTTGCACTAAAGTCCCATTGATAGGCAAAGAAGATCTCATTCTATTGTAAGGAAGAATCAAATAGATAATCTTAAAAAACTTAATATTTTTTTCCTCTTGCTTGAACCACAGTTCCATATCACTCACTCCATGCACCTTAACATCAACTATTGAATAACAAAGAAATTCCAGCTGATTAGCCAAAAATGCATTGCTCAAAGTATTTAAGCTCTATAAGTCTCTGGGATCACAATATCCGCCTTTCATTAAAAAAAAACTAACAAATAAATGTTCAGACGAAGTTACTCATACCTTCCTTTTGTTTTCTTTGGAGCTGTGGACTGCTCACCTTTGGCAAAATGTGCAAATAACTCAGTTTGCTGTAAGAGATACTTCAATCGCCCCTGTCCCTTGACATTCTGCCACAGATACATCAGCATTGAGTACACCTTTTATGAACAATTAAAACAAAAGAAAGGGGGCACCAACAAGTATTCTCACTAAGATACCATGTCAGCCTCAATGGCAGCATTCTGTGAATCCAACATATCTTGTATTTTCTGCTTCTTCATCCTCTGCATCTCTTTCAACCTGGCCTTTTCACGCTTTGAGATTTCATTGACTGCAACCTCTTCCTACAGGTAGTATAGCAGAACTAGTGAGTTGCAAAATAAATGTCATAAAACTTCTCAAAACATGAAGGCTGCTAAAAAATAAACATCGTTATAGTTTGCTAAGTAATTCAATAAGGAAATTGCTCAGTGTTTCACTATAATATGCCAGAAAAAATATGACTCAATCCATATTAACTTCGGTTTCTCTGATTCAAAAGCTCCTCCCAGAACATGCACGCATGCTTGAACAATTTCAGTCTAAATGACTAAAACCCCTAGCATTACCAGCTTGGCCAGGCATTAGCAAAATGCGACATGTTATTGAGCATTAATTCAGCAGAACAACGAAAACCAGAGAAAAGCAACCCTAATATTTGAATAACCATAAAAACTCTAGCAAACACGTGAGATCAGCCGCGTTACTGTACCGAACAACAAATTACTGATCAAAACTGACGGAAACAGCAATTAGCATACCTCATCTTCTTGGTCTGCTCCATCGGTAGGAGCATCATCGTCTTCCTCTTCGTCGGAGTCCTCAGCGGCCCTGGCGACGGCCTCAAGTTCCTCTTCGTCTTCCTCGTCATTGACCTGACCTTGGACTTGCTCCTCCTCGGAACTTTCCGATACAGACTCCTCCGATGATGATCTATCTCTCGACGGTTTCCCCATGGAGACGATGCTAGGGTTTCTCAATTGGGAGTCGTAAATGGGACTCGCCGACTAACTAGCGAGTTGTTAGGTTTGGAATATATACTTCGCTTGCTAAAAGAACCCAATTAGGTGATTTTGCTGTTGATAATATATATATATATGATGAAATGAGAGTTCCCGCCAGTTGTGGGTGATCTGCAATTTGGCGCCTTTTGGTATTGGGATGGAGTCTGATAATGTTTCGGGCGATCTGCACAAATTGGATTATTTTGAGGCACGGGTTTATACTATATTTATTTTTATTTAGCATTACAGAAACGGAATAATTATATGCACTTACTCTTTATCATGAATTTTGTGGAAGATTTTTGAATATCAAAAATTTAAAATTTAAATTTTTAAAGACGTGTTTAAATTATAGTCAAACTCAAAAATAAGAAATTATAAGAGTAATAGAGAAAAGACATAAAGTGACACTTGAAGTTGTCTCGAATTTTCAAAAAGACACTTTAACTAAGCGAGTGTCCTATTACCCCACAAAACTTTTAAATACCTTTGTAAATAAACCACTTTGCCTTGTTTTCTCATCAATCTTAGATTTTGAATATGCGTTTGAAGCACACTCTCTTTAATTAAGTATTTTAATTTAAATATTAATAAGATGCTGATTTAACCCGACCCAAAACATTGAGTTTCCAACTTCAATAATACGAACTTATTCAAACTTCCATTGGTCACAATCATAAACCTGATGGCTTTAAGAATTATCTAAAAATTGCATTTGAATTTCTTCGCCTAAGACTCCCATAATTTGTTTATTCTTCACCCTAATTTATGAATTCGACTTGTTAGGAAGCTTACTGATTGGGACCATTTGTTGTGTTGTGTTCGTTCATTCCAGTGCTCATTTTAGCATTGTTGGTTGCCTAGAAATTTTGTCGAAAAAGTTCCATCGCTAGAATTCTCTCCGATTATGATTCCCTCGTCCATTTTGAATGGGCTTTTATTATTGGGTATGTTAGGAGGAACTTGTTTTATTTACAACTTTTTGGTACAATTTTTTTTTTTAAATAGTAAGAGATACATTTGCATCTCCTTAAGAGCTTAATGCCACTCATCTATCAAAAGAATCACCAACTTTTAGTGAGCTAACTCAGTAACTCGAATTGTTGTTTGTTGATGCACCTCGCCTGTAGAAATACATAGAGGAGTGTTGAGCCACATAAAGAACAAAAAGAGAAAGATGCTTCGACTAGAAAATTCATCATAAAGGGGAGAGACTAATCCAACTGATGTTATTTTTAAAGAGGAAGAATAAACAAGAAGTGATAAATTTCTTCTTCTTTTGGGATGATTTGTTCAAGAGAGATGAAGATCTTTTTAAAGAGTTTGGGGAAGATGATGTATTTAAAAAAGAAATTATTAAATAATAGAGAAAGAACTGATATGTGGCCTTTTTTATTCGTTTTTGAAAGTAAAATTTTCTATTCACGCGCGTCATCTCCGTGAAAACAAACATAGGGAGAAAATTGATCAAAATGGTCTATTTACAAAGGTATGTAATACTTTTGTGGGGTAATAGGACACTTTCATAGTTAAAATGTCTTTTTAAAAATTCAAGACAACTTCAGATGTCACTTTATGTCTTTTCTCAAGAGTAATATCATAATTAATAACATTTTGTTTGGATGGTTGTTATGTATTGTTTCATAATGAGTCGTATTGTATTGTTTAAATGAATATAATGTTTGGATAAATTGTATCGTTCTTACTTCTCCATTATTACATAATGTTCACATTGTCATAGTTTTTTAATGATAAATCTATACGAAATTGTAGGATATGTAATAGAGTTACTATAAAAATGTAGAGTAAAAATAAAATTATTAAATAATAAATGAAAAAAATATTAAGCTAACGACAGCAAATGTCATTATACAAAATGAGTATTATAATATTCAAAAACAAACCTTGTATTTAGAATAACAACATATTTTTAAACTATAGGAAAATTTAGTATTGCAAAATAATAAATTTATAGGGTATCTCTGGAATTATCCTCGAAGAAAATTACCTTTGACCAAACGGTACAGGAAGACGCAAACATTCTATGGTTTTACCACCGCATCACGTCTTTCTACGAACCCGACTTGGAAATCTTTATTTTTTTTGGTTTTTCCTTCTCTTAAATTATATATAAAGTAGAGAGGAAATCCAGGAGTGCACGAAAAGCACCCATCGCCTACTGGGTCTAAATAATTGTCCTTGTTGACCCTTCTTCCTCGTTCTTTCTCCGCTCTAATCTACTCCCTGAATTTTTCTCCGTATAGGTTATGGAGGGAAGAATTTTGTTAAAGGGTGTTATAATTATGAGCTTAATTGCCTGTTCAACTGCTAGAGGTAATTCATAAATGCCATATACTACTACTACTTGTTTTGATTTTGCAAAAACTTATGGAAGTATATTCTATCGGACTGTATTAGATCATGTATAATTTGAATACATGGAAACACTTGAAGTTTTATCAGTACAGTAGCAAGTGGAATTTGAGATTCTGGCTTTTGTCAAGCCGAACAGCTTCTATATAAATTGTTGATCAACTTTTTTTCTCTCTTGATTATTCTGGATTGATGTATAAACTCTAATCGAGACCCTTTCAAACAGTTGCTGTTAGACCAAAGGTTTATATTGCCTTTCATTGCTCATACCTGGACTGCCTAGCCTGATAATTGAGGTCTATACACATTTAAGTATTCATCGGGCTTAAATTAGGGATACTTGGATTTGTTCTCGGCCTTGGTAGTGCATTTTTAACCAAGATGACACTATTTCATGACTGGGAAAAGAATGGGCTAGGAATGGTTTAGGATGAGAGAGGAAGACAAAAATCTAGTGAAGTTTATGACCAAAACTAATATTTTCAGCTGAGATAGCATTTTAAGCAGCCATATATGGACGTTTCATCTGAGACATTGGGCAAGTCTCTATTACTCTGTAAGCTTATTGTTGTGTTGAGTTACCGAGATGGACAAGGTAGTTCGCACTATGTATCAACGGATAAGTAGTGGTATCTGTGGATACTTTGAACTATCCTTATGGACTAATGGAAATTAAAGCTTCAAGTGAAGCAACCTAGATAAGGTTGTACAGGCATTGTTTGCTTTGTTATGTATTTATATGTAATATTTTGTGTGCAAAAATAAATTCCCAAAAGATGCCTTATATTTGCAAACTGGTAATTGGCATGGTTGGTTATGACAACTGATTTATGGATAGCTACTTACAGTTAAGTTTTTTGGCTGTAGAACTCAAAGTGAAGGATCAAGGGACAATCTACAATCACACTCTTGCCACCATATTGGTGGAATATGCTGCATCGGTCAGTTTTTGTTACATTTTAAATAAGCAAGTAGGGTCAGAAATGTTTTAATTGAAGGGTAATTGCTTACATTTGCTGATATATGGTTTATGATTTGGCTGGATATCATGATGGCCAAAATTGGACTTTACCAATAAACGATGGACTGAAATCCCAATTTCCAATTTCTTTCTGTGTAGTTTTAATTTCTATATTCCTTGAACTCTTCTCACTCGTTTTTGCTGCATTTGATTTGCGGTAATGTGGTTAATATATTCCATACTTCACTGGTTCAAGCTGTTTTATTAGGGAACCAATTATATCCATACTTGTGATGTTCTTGCTGGACTTTTGTCACCTAGAGTATAACAAATATGACCTCTGTATTTGTAGGTCTATGTGTCGGATTTGACAGAACTAATTACTTGGACATGCCCAAAATGTAATGATTTGACGAAGGTATTTTGTTTGGATTGTTGTGAATATATTCTTCAGGTTGAAGAGAAGCCTTGTGTAAATTTCATCCTGTGTTATTCTTATATGACTAATTTGTCCAAGCCTTCATCCTGTGCAGGGGTTTCAAATTTTAGAGCTCATTGTTGATGTGAAGCGATGTCTACAGGTGAAAATCAAATAGCACAAAAGCATGTGGTGCTCTCATTTTGAGGTGCTAATTTGGTTCTAACTATTGATATCAATTTCAGGCATTTGTGGGGGTGGCTCCAGATATTAATGCCATTGTAATTGCTTTCCGAGGCACTCAGGGAACCAGGTTTCATTTCTACTCCGGGCCGTGCTCATCATTCATGTGGTCTCATGTTTAATTTGACTGTATGGTGAATAAAAAATGTCTTATTTTGCAAATAAGAAGTCTGACTAGTTTATTGAGATGGATATCTTGGTAGACATATCAGAGTTGTCGTACATAAGTCATGCTCAAAAAGCATAGAAATTTAGCTCTCTTAGTCTTTTGGTGTAAAAGTGAATATGCACAAGAAGTAGATAGGTCCTTAGTTCTTTTCCATGTAGCTAGTCGTACTAAGCGCATATCATTTTTTCCAATGCAAATTCAAGTCAAAATGCTTAAAAGGGTTAATTTAGTCAGTAGGTATTGTTTTATAACCCAAACCATCTTTTTGATCTTTGGGAAGAATGAATCTTGTGTAAAGATTTACAGAATAGACGAGATTGAGGGTAACAACATAAAATTTCCCATATTTGTAGGTCTCATTTGGATCTCTTTTTAATATTTTTTTTTTTGGTAAGTTCCTTTTAATTTGATTCTATTTTCAAGGCAGTCTCATTTAGAAATTAATATTAGTAATAACATTACCTATCCAAAAAATCAATACTAGCATTCATCGTTTGCTTCAGCGTATATCCCTTGCATCGTTGCAAGTGAATGGCCTCATTGCACATTTTTTGCCTTTTAAACATTGGTCTTAACAAATAATAAACGGTTGAAAGAGAATTTTATTATTGCTAAAGTTTTTATAGGTTCGACAGCTGTCAGTGATCACAATAAGTGGATATTGTTTGGTACTTTAACTTTGTCTTGGGGTTGGGGGGGGGGGGGGGTGCCGGCTTTTTTTT